TATTATTATTTAAATTACATCATGAATAACAAACAGGGGAGACGGGGGGGGGTGGGGTGAGGTGGGAGGCCCCTCCCGAAAACCGCGTTTTTCATGTTTTTAAAGTTTTTTTTTAATTTTTTTTTTTTTTTTTTTTTTTTTTTTAATGGCGTCTAGTTGAAAATTTTTAAAAATTGTTTTTCTAATACGATCGATTTATCGATATATCGATCGATACATCGATCCATCCATACGTCGATTTTTTTACCATGGGGAAAAATGAAAAAAAAAAAAAAAATTTTTTTTATTTACTTACTTTGTTGTTGTTACTATTATTATTATTACCACCGATAAGAAATCAAAAAGTAAATTTTTACGCGCGTTTTTTTTTTAAATTGAACCGTTTAAGTAATAATAATAATTATTATTATTATTATTATCATCACGATGCGCTTTTGTTGTTTAAAAAAAAAAAAAAAAAAAAATGATTAATTGTATTTTTTTGTTTTGCCGTATCTTAACGCCTTCGCTCACCTTATCATTCAAACCTCGTGGAGACCGATAACGGTCGTCGATTTATCCATTGTCAACGACGAGTACATCCTGGTACCCGGGTACTTCCCACCGTCTGGAACGATTCGCGGGTTTCATTCCGAAAAAGCAATAATGGAAAATTTTTAACATTAATTATCGAACATTTTGTGTGTGTGTGTGTGTGTGTGTGTGTGCGTGTAAGCGTCGAAACGAAATTTAAAAAAAAAAAAAACTTGTTTCGTATTATTATTATCATTATCATTATTATTATTATTATTATTACATTTATTTTTATTCGTTGCCGTCGGGATCGAAAATCGAAAGACGCCATTTTTTTTTTTTTTTTTTTTAAATAATTAAAAAGGGAAATTTGTGTTGTTCGTTTTGTAATTTTGAACGTTGTAATCATTATTATTATTACTATTATTATTATTATTATTATCAAAAGAATTTTCCCTTAGATGTTGTTTTTATTATTATTATTATTATTATCATTCACATCGATGTCGTAGAGGCTGTTGAAATTTGTGCAGCCGTCGGACGAGATAGATAAACGAAACGTTAGAAATTCAAGTCGTGGCAGCAGAGATTTTTATTTATTTTTCAATTTTTGTTTCAGGTGGTCGGAATACAGCAATATTTAGTTAGGCCGAACGTTGCCAACACGAGCGACAGTTTCCTGTCGTCGGAAATACTCGTGGAAACCTCAATAACGGAAGAATTAGTTAGAAAAAGTTTATCTCTCGAATACGTTATTTTACAAGTAAGTTTTTTATACTAAATAATCATCATCATCGCCGTCGTCGTCGTCATCATTGATGTCGTCATCAATGTCGTCATCATTACTGAATCGTCATTTCGACGATTCGCGGTATGCTACTTCGTATGCTGCGACTCCCCGTCGACGCCCCTACGACAAAGAATTTTTTTTTTTTTTTTTATAAATATGGCGCTTGTCCCCCCGTAAAGGATTAATAATATTAATAATAATAATAATAATTTTCCCGGGTACATTTTACTTACTCACTCGCTCAGTCGCTAGATCCAACCGAACATTGACCGGGTTCTTTTTTTTTTTTTTTTTTTTTTTTTAAATATCATCTACCTGAATCCCCATTATTCTTTTGTTACATTTTAATTTGGGGGGAGGACGAGGAAGAGGAGGAGAGAAGGGAAGGGGGTCAATACATTTTTTGTGTATGTGGTTTGAATTTTGTGTGTCGATTCTTGCTACCACTTCACTCTACCATTTTAGTTGTTGTCGTTGGTGGTGAGTAAGTGAGGGGTGGGGGAGTAGGAGGGAGGAGAAGAGGAGAGGAGGAAGGGAAAAAAGAATTTATATACAACGATTCTTTTGAATTTTCAAAACTTTAAATGATAGTAGTAATAATAATAATAATGATAAAAGAATTTTTATTATTAAAAATCTCTGGGGGGCGGGAGGGGGAAGAGGGAGGTATTTATAATAATATTGAGCTGCGGTTTTTACGTAACGTAGACGACTACGACGACGATAATAATAATAATAATAATAATAATAATGTAAAAACTAGTTTTATTATCTTATAATTTCCTTTTACAATTTTTTTAAAAAAATTTTTTACGCCGTTATTATTATTATTATTATTATTAGTATTAGTATTAGTATTATTATTATTATTATTAGTATTAATATTATTATTATTAATTTTTTACATCGATAGAAATAATTTCCATTTAGAAAAAAAAAAGAAATGTATGTATGTATAATAATTAATTTCGCGTTTTTTTTTTTTAATTGTGGAAACGAGACGAATGAACTTTTTTTCGACTTGTTGCTCTTCCGACGGTTTGTTTTTTTAATAGGGATGTGATATGTGTGTGTGTGTGTGACGTCACACTCGCGCGCGCGGGTTTAAGTAGGTTCGCGGATACGAAATTCGGATTTTATTAAAACCATTTTTTTGTTTTTATCATTATTATTATCACTACTTCATTCGAATTTTTT